TAACAAGCAACAATGCCAGATAGGAGATACCTTCTTTTGAGTTGTTGGTCAGGGTGGCCAAAGGGACTCCCAGATAGTAACCCAGCATAGAACGGCAGATCCCAGTCTTATCTAAAGGAATATTGACAACTGATTGCTGCTAGATGAGGAACAGCTGACCTTTCTAAAACAAAGACCTCTAGATAGGCTGACTAGATTTACCGGATGGACAAGTACTAGGGAACAGCTGGGGGTACCGTCACCACAGCAGACAGTAGCAGGGATGACAGAGTAAAAGGGCTCTAGTGGGGGGGTGGCTGTGGGAGGGTGCCATCTGGGAAGTGGGTGTATAGATGAATATGATTGTTTGGGATGTTCTGTGTGATATACACACAGAAAGTCAAATTTTTTTTAATGAGTTATATTTGAGGAGGGGAGGAAGCATAAAAATTTACATCATGTTAATTAGTAGAGGTGATAAACATTACCATTGAAATCTACCTGATGACTTTATATCCATACACAGGTGCCAAGGATCCGCGTGTAACCAACCATGACTGGTAATAATCGGATACATACAGATTAGAGATGCATGTGCCAACATCTAAGTGTTATAGCCATACACAGGATAGCAAAAACAATGAGTTTTTCTGTAAGAAACAGAATGAAATGAAATGGAGATCTTTTTAAAGTTTAAAAACTCATTCAATGTCTTACAGGGTTTATATTGAGTTCAATATTGTATAACTGTATTAATTCAACTGTGAACCTAAAAATTTTATAGCCACTTTTGAAAGAGCTCTATTTTTGCTCTGGAAATTGTTATTGAGTACGTTAAAGCTGTAATGAAATGCTTCTTCTAAAAAATAAAAAATAAATAAGAATTATAGGTCACTGACATTCTAATGAGATGTGTTTTCTCTGGCACCCAGTTCAGATATGTTATGTAAGATGATGGTGGAAATGGAGGACGGGGTCTGAATATGATCCAAATACATCATAAGAAGTTTTTAAAATATTTTGTTATTTTTATGTGTATGAGTGTATTGTCTGCATGTATGTAAGTGCACTCGTGTCATGCAGTGCCTGCAGAGGACAGAAAAGGGTGTTGGATCCCCTTTAACTGGAGTTAAGGACAGTTAGCCACCATGTGGGTGCTGGGACTCAAACCCCAGGCCTGTGGAAGAGCAGCCAGTGCCCCTAACTATTGAGCCATTTCTCCAGCACCAGTATGAAACTCTTGAATCAAATAAAAAGCACATTCCTGTTGACTCTGAAGCTACTTAAGCAGCTGTAAGAAGATGATATGGCTAACGTGGATAGTAAAGACAAATTTAGATGCCCAAGCAATTTTTTGAGGTTTATGGTTAGCCTGTGTCTTGTTAAAATGCACAGTGTTCAGCCCTCCTCCTTTACTGTTTAAATTCTAGTCTCTTAATAAATTATTCTTGTACCAAAAGGATCCTGATTTGCTAAGTCCTGTGTTCTCATGTTCTTTCTTTGTAGGCTTGTTATGCTGCCTCTGCGATCGGATACCTAACCAGCAGGTAAACCAAAGTCTGCTTCATTTTAATTACATTGAAAATTTTGGGATAGAAGTATTATGTATTTCAGCTGAAGTTTTAATTGGCTTGAAAAAGATAGAAGACAGTAATAAAGAAAAATAAAGAAATGAGAACTCTGAGCATCATCTGATGGTCAAGGATGGTCAGTCAGTGGTGGCTACTGTGTCTTGGATATCCTAACTTCCCTGGTCACTTCACACGAAATGCTTGGCATCAGATGAGGGTGCTAGACTTATTCTACTTGTTGAGGTTTTATAGTATGTATTTGTGTTATTGAACTACCCTCTTATCCTTTCTTCTTAAAAATTAATACTTTTAAGCTGGGCGTGGTGGTGCATGACTTTAATCCCAGCACTTGGGAAGCAGAGGCAGGAGGATCTCTGAGTTCTTGTCTTTTTGAGACAGGGTCTCCTTGTAGCCCCAGCTGGCCTTGAACTCACTATATAGACCAGGATGAACTCACAGAAATCTGCCTGCCTCTGCCTCTTAAGTGCTGGGATTAAAGGTGTGTGCCACCATGCACAGCTATAAATAAAATATTTTAAAAAGAAAAAATATTTAGGAAGATTTTTGAGAAAACGTTGCATTCAGAGTCACTTTCGTCACAAAGATCCTAGTATATTGTATTTAGTTAGGAAATGAGAAAATATCTTCTCATATAAAATATATGTAGTTGCCAAAAATTTGCTTCTGGGGGACTGGGAAGATGACTCAGCAGTGAAGGGTACTTGCTGCTCTTCCAGGTGACCCAGATTCGGTTCCCAGCACCCACAGTGGGCAGCTCACAGCTGCCTGTAACTCTAGCTCCAGGGGTCCATAATCTCTTCTATCCTCTACAGACACCTGCATGCACATGTGCATACTTAACACAGACACACACACATACATATACATAAAAATAATTTTTTTTGTTTTGTCTTTTTGAGACAGGGAGACCCTGTCTCAAAAAATAAAAATAAAATAAAATAAAATAAAAAATAGTAGTCCACCATGTCCAGACAGCTCTCCAAGCTCAGCTCAAAATGGAGGACTCCCTTTCTCAGCAGGGTCTTCCTACTCTCTGCCTGACCTTATTTGGAAGGTGTCTACAAGTACAGATGCCTGACCTTATTTGAAACATGATCTTTGATATAGTTCCTAGCAAATGCTACCCCGGTTTTCCCCGTATGATAATTAGGCATTGCGCTATAGCCAGTCAATCCCACCTCCCCTTTCTACATGACAGGGTCCTCCTGCCACATGTAAATAAAGCATACTATGAACACCTATCAGATAAAGCTTTGGTTGCCATCCTCACCCTATATATTCCCTCCAAACCCCCCCCCGAATAAATGAGCTGTCTCACTGAAAAATAAATAAATAAAATAAATTAAAAATAATAATTCCTTCTGTATGCAGTCCATTTTTTTCTAGCTCAAATATAGTT